GCTGGTCTTAGATTTGCCTTTAGGGGATCGGGAAATTCGGCTGTTGGACCTTTTTCGCCGGGCCAGTGAAGAGCACAAATATAAATTAAGTGTTTCTTGTTATGTTTTTCTCCGTAAAAAACTCACGCGAACAAGCCACTAGCCAACGCTTGCACTTTGCCATGTCTCGCGAAGGTTTTGGGAAAGGAATGAATACTTTCTTCCCTAATTCCTTTCACTCTTTGAGTGATTTTGGCCATTTATCTGCATATCTTGAGTCTGTCGTACACTCATTCCAACAACAGTGTTTGGTGCCAACCATGCCGCTTCCTTTTAGAACGCCAAGTCATTTTTTGACGAAATTTTCCATCGTTTTGTTTTAATTTTACAGCTCCCGCTAATATATTTCCTTAACCTGGTCGCAATGTTTGTCTGAGTCTGTGCGGGGGGTCTCATAGATTATCACGTAACAAACTCTATTTTTAGTAATAGTATAAAGCGCCATTAACCAAGGAAAGGGGTAGGTTGGGAAACGGACGTAACCAAGAGATTCTTCATATTCTCTTGCTCCCTACCCTGCTGGCAGAGGCGTTTATTTGTTAACTTCGAATTCCCCTGCGGTCCACGTAAAAATAAAGTCCTCTGCGCTCAGCCTGTTAAATCTTCTTCGAGCATGCGCCTGGGAATTATCTAAGTTTGTGGATAATCTGATTTGCAAAACCGGTCAGACCTGTTTTAAACACGTTTTTATGCGCACGCATCCTATTTAGCTATATAGCAAGACCGTGTACTACCGGGAACAAGTTTGTTTCTAAGCAACAGGCCGCGCATGCTCGAAGAAGATTTAACAGGCCGAGCGCAGAGGACTTTATCTTTACGTAGACCGTACAGGAAGTTAACAAATAAACGCCTCTCCCAGCAGGGTACTTGCTCCCATGAGTGACCAAGACAAAATTTCTTCTTACAACATCAATACAATATCAAGTAGAAAGGTGATGAGACTGAAGTAAAATATCAATAAGGAGATAGCTAGCTGATCCAATACAAAATTCTGTAAACTAAAATCATAAGAACTGTTCTAAAGGAAACAAGGAGAATAACTAATGAGATGTTAGGAGATTGAGAGTTAAAAGAGTCGCTATGTTCCGAAAAAGAAAAAAAACGGTCAAGCAATTCCTAAAATGGATCTACATTTAACAAGGAGAAACTCCTTTTGTCCAGACTGAAGACTGGCTTTTATTTAGGTTTTGTTAATTTTTTTATCTTGTTTGTACGCATTGTGTGCCTATACGTTGGTGACATTTAGGTCGTGTGATTTACGCGACCTCGAAGCTGTGAAATGTAAAAAATAAATGGATTAGTAGTGGAAGAACAAACCTCTTTTTTTGTGGTTGAAGCGTTTTTTTTTTTTTACTTAATACCTCCCATTCCCCTAGGACCGCATTACTGAGATGACCACTAACTGTAGACAGACGCTAATGCCTTTTCTTTTTCTTTCTTTTTTCGTTGTAGTGCGCTTGAACTGATCTGGGTTGCCAGATGTTCTCTCTGCGAGACCGGCAACATAGGAGGTGGGTAAGAGGGGAAAATTGATCACAGCAAGAAGAGAAATCTACGAACATTCCCTGGCTAATGCAACGCCTATCATGAGAATGGCGATATCAGGATTATTTGATTTACTGATCAATTATCTACTTGTGTAGCCTTGCGATGGACTGGACTCCCGTTCAGTGAGGGGTGGTAATACTCTTTGTCATTTTATTTCAATTATAGAAATCGGGGGCAGCTCTTGCTGTATAGGGCCACTTTGCCCTTACCAAGGCAGACTGTGGCGTATCTTCACAGCAAGGGCATCGTGAAGAGTAAATTCCGTCTTCCTTTTAGGTCATTTTTGATTCACTCTTCAGTCCTACGTTGTGAAAATTCTGAAGCGACATTTTCTAGGAGGAATGATTTAGTAAATAACAAAAAACTAAAAAAAAACGTAATACTTCATTTAGAAACTCATAAGTAAACTGCCACTTATGCTTTAAATTTCATTACATGTTTTTGTTTAATTTTTATATGAATTATACCTGTTAAATAATTTTCGTATAGTTTGCCCAATTTCTGACTAAGTATATATTTGAGTTCGTAATTCTTTTTTCCATTTTACTCTTCCGCCAACCTTTCTACTATTGTTTGTAACGAACACAAGGTATCTTTGCTTCTTGAATAGGTCCACTTGTGCGAGGAGCTGAAAACTTGGTGAAAATGGGCTCCTCTGTCACACAGGAAGAGGATGAAAAAGCAAAAGACACGCGTCTCAAACTTATCTCCATAACAGATCTAGAAGTAAGTGGTGTTTTTATCCAACTACACTCCGTAGAGTACAAATAACGCCCT